CTTGTGATCCTCCTGCCTCAGCCTTCCACAGTGCTGGGATTACAGGTATACACCACCGTGCCTCATTGCATGCATTTATTTTTTGGGACAGAGTCTCATTATATACCTTAGGCCACCCTCAAATCTGCTATGTACCCCAAGCTGGCCTCAAACTTGTGATCCTTCTGCTTCAGCCTCCCAACTGCTGCAATTATGGACATGCACCACTACACCTGGCTAGAGAACTTCATTAATACGAAGTTCAATTTTGTTCTCTTGCCCTATGTAAAAAGTTGTATGAACATTTATAGCTATTACAATCTTACCTTGTTTTCTACTATTATAGATATATCCTACAAAATGTTTGTATAATTGATCTGTAAAGAACATCTGGACAAGGGAAAGCATTGCTATGTCCTATGAATGCCACCTTAAAAATGTGTAATCCAGAAAGACTATCAGGTAAACTGTGTCATAATAATAATGCTTAATTTAGTTATGAATATTTAGAACATTTTTTAAGCTAGAAGCGCTCTTTGGCACTTTCTTCTTCTTCATACATGCACTGAGGCATAAGTAACCTATGGTTCCTCATAAGCCCAAGATCCTGAGTTCAATCCCCAGTACCACCACCACCACCACCAAAAAAAAAAAATCCTATGGTTAGGTAGAATTATTTTTTCTAACTCCAAAGTGAAGTTTCTGTGTCCTTTGATTGACAATGCAATTTCTATTGTTCAGAATCTAAATCAATTGATGCAATTTCTACTCTGAACAAATATAAACATGCAGGTGAAGACACGTGCTGAAATATACTTTCCTGAAATATTAGTAAGAATGTTAGGGCTCTTTTAAACTTTCTTCTTTGGTAAGTTCCCTATGTAATATAACTCAATAACTGAGCTTCTGCAAAAAGTAGGCATTAATTCCAAAATCGGAAGTAAACAAAATCTATATCCAATTTTAAAATAAAATTTTAACATGTTAGAAACAAATTAGTTTGACATATGCAGAAATAATAAGGAATTCCTTGCGACTAATATAAATAATGCCTATCAGTTCCTGAACATTCTTTTTACAGCAAGATCCTTTGAATGAACACAAGTCAATGATAGCATCTGTGGAATCAATATGAATTTTGTGTTTGTGTGTGTGTGTGTGTGGTACTGGGAATCAAACCCAGAGCCTTGAAAATCTGCACAAGGAAGAAAGAACAGTATCTGATTCTCCCTCTGTCTTTCACTGAAGTTGATGTATCACTTTGGACATATTCCTTATAAAATGTCTTCAAATCCCAATATTAATGAGCTTCATATAAAATTTAAACGTTATTGTTCATCGTGAATATGGGCACTTTTTTTAATGACCAACTCTTTATAAGTGTAAACCTCAAGCCAGGTGTGTTGATATGGCTGTAATCCCAGTCCTATAAGAGGCTGAGGCACAAAGGTTCCAAGTTTGAGCCCAGGCTAGGCAATTTAGTGACTTAGTGAGACTTTATCTCAAAATAAAAAATGAAAAGGCCTGGGCTTAATAGTTCAATGTGATGCCGTAGGTTCAATCCCCGGTGTCACAAAAGAAAAATAAGTAAGAATTAAAAAAAAAATAGATAATCTCAATTCATTCCCTGGAAAAAAATCCCTGCACATGATGACACAGATTTCCATGCTCAGACATCCAGTTATATTCCCACTTCTGAAAGTATTATAAGGCATATCAGTTGCCGATAGCAATCAAACCATCTCTGACCTTGCCTTACTTTTAGACTGTGGTCTTTGGAGATCAACGTCATTATACCTAAACACGTGTGTCAATGAAACAAATTTTAACATTAGATTCCAGGATATACATTTCCCCACCATTTAAGGAAATAAGGCCAGAGAAATAATTTGAAAAGTAAGCGGGTATTTGGGGCCCAGAAAGGAGATAAGGATTCACTGCATGGCCCATTATTTACAGGGAAGAAAAGTCAAGGACAGAACGCTATGCATTTCAGGAAGACCGAATGTTCGTTCCTATGTCCTAAAAACACAAATAGTTTTGCATTTGATTAACAAAGAAGAAACGCAAACTCACCTGGATGTGGATTACAATTTTTACATTTTATTTTTTAAAAAAACCTTTCTGAGAATGACAACTGGGGAAGAAGAAAATCATGAAACATATGAGGCCTTTCTTAGAACACGGGTGGACCTAGAAAATCTCCAGGGCCATATCAGTCCTGACCTCACACATAACTAGATGTGAGGAGGCTGGGATCACTGAACTCACAGGCGGATTCCTAGACTGGAGGTAAGGGGTTGCTGTTCAGAAAAATTAGCAGCTCCACAGCACCTCGGAGGGAGAACTTCCTGCCAGACCGTCCCAGGAGTCGCTCTCAGGGACACTTCTGGCTCTAAAGTCCCACCCCATACCCTGGTGCCTTCTTCCTGGTAACCTTCGCTCTGAGGCTCAATATCTCACTCCTCTCTTGGGGACTCACTGTGAGGGGAGGTGACGGAGAAAGCCTGACGGAGAGAGGAACCTTGAGCAGTGGTCAGTGATACACCGAAGAACCAAGTGCCAAGCTCGACCTCAGAACACCCACCGTCACGGAGGCCCAATCAGCTCCGACAGGGCACGGTCATTCGAGCTCGCACACTGTCACACTGGACACACAATCCCCCTTCTTCGCTCCTCACGCACGCACAGGCCTGAGACTCGGCTCACAACGCGCCAGCTCTGTGCCACAGGGTTCCTCACTTTGGGAGGCAACCCCAACCAACTACGACCCTAAAAGTGGCATTCTGCCTCACCCAGCGCCATTCCTTTCCAGGATGCAACTAACTTACCCGTGTGCTGGAACTGGCAACAAGGCACCGGAAGGGGCTCTCGCGGTTCAAGGGAGCGACACCCGTGTGGATTCTGGGAAATGTAGTCCGTATCAGACAGCCAGGTAGCTTGGGCTCCGCTCAGGAGCAGGAGCATGAGCAGGAGCAGGTGGCCCCAGCTAAATCTCCAGAACGCGAGGTTCATTTATAATACATACAACTTTTTTTTTTTAATTCGGGATATATCATGTACAGGCACAAATTCCTTATAATGAGTGTTATCATTATGTATATCTAAAAGGTATCATAAATGTTTTGCTTTCAAAGAAAAAAACCAACCCTGAAGCTGAATGTACAGGACCAGGTGCAAGCTCCATAAAAGGAATTGTGTGCGTTTCTTCCCTAGGTTTCTGGTACACAGGGGGATTGTTTTTGTATTGGTGATTGAACCTAGGGCTTTTGCTCTTGGCTTCATCCCTATCCTTGTTTTTAAAATTTGTGAGACGTCTTGCTATATTGCCCAAGCTAGGCTTGAACTTGGGATCCTCCTGCCTCAGCCTCCTAGAATGCTAAAATTATAGGGATGTACCACCATGATTAACTTCACTATGTGTATTTTTTAAATGAGTGTGCATTGCACCTGGCCTCGTCACTGTGAGGGTTACAGGATCAATTGCGCTGCTGGCTTCAGTTGGGTTGTAGCTCTGCGTGTATTTGGATATGAAACAGTGTAGTGAAGGAAATAAGAAATGTGTCCAAGACAATATACAAATTAGCCCATCAGAAAACTTACACTTTGTCCTTTCTGAAAACTTCAATTCAAAATCATAAAGTGGCTCATAGCTGCAATTCAGCCCTTGGCAGGGCAAGGAGGACTTTCATACAGATAAGGGCTCGAAATAGGGTCCAGATCCTAATGGAAGGCATTCCAAGTGGTGGCGTGGAACAGAGCATGATGGGCCACCTTAACCCAGGCAAGAAGGGTGTCCAGAAAAGGACCGCCCTGCTTGGGACTTCAGAGTACAGAGAGGTGAAGAGGGCGTTTGGGAGTGTGTTGCCCAGCCTTGGGTGTTGGGGACACTCGTGTGGGTGTGCAAAGTGATGAGAGTCAAAATCCAGGTAGGGTAAGGAGAGCACATGCACAGGTAGGGGCAACTGCAGTGATTTGAGTTTGTCAGTCACAGAGGAATCGATCCAGTAAGTAAACATCTTAAGGCTCCAGGCTTAAGAACAGCGAATTATAGATACTGGAAAACAAAAAACAGAATGAACCTTGTGATATCTGATGAAACTAAATATAATGTATGAGCTCAGAATTATCAACAGGGGTACATAAAAATAAATATAAGCAGGTTCTGGGCCACTGAGGACCCTGGGCTTGGGAGTTGTGCCACCTTGCTTTCCCTTGCAGGATCTGGGTTCCAAGACTGGCCTTGCCAGATGTGTCCCTGCCTCAGGAAAGAAGTGCGGTGCTGAGTGACTGCCCTTAGGGCTTGTATCTTATTCTGATAGAAAGTACTTCCACCTTGAGCTCCTGAGGACAAGATGTCCAAATAGTGTTTAGGGATAATTTGTGACAGTGACAAAGAAAACAACGCAATCACCAGATATTGAGCATCTGGCTGAAAGTTATTCCTCTTCCTCCTCCCTTCAAAGCTGACATGGAAAGCAATGCTTGAAACTTGGTGATAGCTGTGATGTGATCTGGGCCATGACAGCACCCGTACAACTTTGTGGTGACCTGTCATGTTAGTGCTTTGGTACACTGATCGGAGGGGCCATTTTTAACCAGTTAGCAGTGTGTACACTATCATCTCTTCTGAGATATGTGTACTGACCCTGGGCAGTTAGGACGCAAAGGAAATATTACTGGAGAATAATGACACCTGCCCAGGGCCCTGGACTTCTAGAAAATGTATTAAGCAAGGCCACTGCTGACTAGTAGGGTCCCATGTTACCTAAAAGAAATAGTACATGGGCCTGTGATACATCATGTGAATGGACAGAGGACTTCCACATCTTCTGAAGATTCTTTAGCAACTTTAAGTTGGATGAATGAATCAAGGTAAATGTAAAAATGCCTTGAGTTTGAACCACAGAGAACATTCTATCCTGATCATCTTTCAGATGTGAAAAACGGTTTGCTAGAAGTCACATGTGACTCGGGAACAGCCTTATTTGCTTGGGAAATGTTCTTTTAGCCTCAAGTTACCATTCTTTAGATGCAGAGCAATACGCCCAGGGGAGACACGATGTGCCCAAGGACAAAGAACACCTGGGCAGACACTAGTGGGCACTGGAAGGTCAGTGAAGATTTTGGGAAATTGAATCAGGTGACTAAACCTCTGTCTGTCTGATACTCCTGTATGTGAGGAAGGCAGGATCACTAAAACCCAATGTTCCACCTGCAGGAAATGGGAGTGAGGGCTTTATTTTGTGGTCAAAGACTTCTGTCTGAGATTCATTTTCCACCCGTTTCCCCAGTTCTGAACTCATCTGGCTAGAAGTCTTTGCTTCTCTCTCAAGCCGCAATCAAGGCCATGTACCTCACCCACGTATCTGTCAGGTCAGGAGGGACCCAGTGGCTCCTATTCAAGGCCCACGTTCTCCAAAGCAGTTAAACATCTAAGAAGAAATGAAATGGATTCAATCTTGTCCATTTATTAAGTAAACCAATCCTGTGTAAAGTGAAAAGAGAACTAGGTTTGAGACAGGTACCTGGGGAGGCAAAGGGAAACCTCAGTCCCTGTGGGGTATGGGGTGTGTATGGAGGGGTCACTTGTAAAACTCGTGCTCCTGCTCATCCTTCTTGATGACAGTCTTGTACGCCTTCTCAAAGTCCTTGGCCAGGACAATGTAGCGGTTCTCGCGGACAGCCAACATTCCACTCTGTTGAGGGATGAGAAATCAGATCTACTTCAACAATGGTGAAGGAAGAAAGAGGTGGGCCCATGACCCCAAGGACGGAAACAGAAGTACTGCAGCCGAGTGGTCCCAGAAAAGGGGAAGGGTCTTCACACATCCTCACTTGGATCAGAAAGAAACTACGGCTCACCTCTTGACAGATGGAGTTGATATCAGCTCCTGAAATCTTATCTGGCCGGGCCACATCTGCAGCAGAGGAGTTAAGGACACTATTCCCTGATGGGGTGAATGCCTGGAGCCAGAGTCATCCAGGGACCATCACTGTCACTACCCCACCTCCCCTGACTTTGATCACCCAATCTGGGTCATGGTGGCGGCAGAGGCGTAGGGGAAGGTCAGTTCCCATTCCCTGCCGAGACCAGAGCAGGATACAGTCTTCCAAGTCAACCTCCTCAGAGAGGTTCATCTTGCTGGTGATAGTGGAGAAAATCAATCTCTTTTGGCGGCGGTCAGGGAGAGGAAATTCGATTTTGCGGTCTAGGCGTCCTGGCCGCAGCAGGGCTGGATCCAGCGTATCTGCTCTGTTCGTGGCCATGATCACCTGGCACCGGGAGCAGAAAGTTCATACTGTGCCTTTGTGATACTCTCCTCTGTCATGATATCCTCCCCTCACAAGCCAGCCCCAACTTGCCCAGATTTCTGTACAACGCCACTTGCCCATCCTGAGCCCCAAACCTTGACATTGACGTTCTGGTCAAATCCATCCATTTGATTTAGCAGCTCCAGAAGGATTCTCTGAACTTCCCTGTCAGCTGGGAGGGCAACATGGTCAGTGCAGGGCAAACAGCACGACAAGCCTGTCCAAGACCCAGGCCTTGTTTGGCCATCACTCACCTCCTGTCTGGGCATCGAATCTCTTGGTGGCGATGGCATCAATCTCATCTATGAAGATGATGGCAGGGGCGTTCTCCTTGGCCAGGCGGAACACATCCCGGACCATGCGGGGGCCCTCACCCAGGTACTTCTGTACAAACTCGGAGCCCACGACCCGGATAAATGCAGCTGATGGCGGGAAAACAAGGGTCAGATGGAGAAAAGCCTCCGGGGAACCCCCTCTGCCTTAACTGAAACTAGGAATTGCGGAAGATGTCCTTTTCCCTGGACACCCACTCTTGGTAGCTGGGCCATTCTCTCAGGCCCTGGGTGGGTCCCAGAGCCAGCTAGAACCAGCCATCTGCCTGTGCCCCACAGCAATCCAGCAGCCCAAACCATGAATCACACACACACACACACACACACACACACACATTTGGCCTGATACATAAAAATCAGGATATTAAATATTAAAGAAGAAAAAAGTAAAACCTGAACAGCTAAGTTTCTGGAATGTATACAAGGCCAGTAAAAGATATTTTGTCCATTCAATAAGATATAAACCATTTTTCCTTTTTTTTTTTTTTTTTTTTTTTTTTTTAGTTTTTTGAGGCAAGGTCTCACTATGTAGTTGAGACTGACCTGGAACTCACTGTGTAGCCCAGGCTGGTCTCAAACTCACAGTGATTCTCCTGCCTCAGCTCCCCGCTCCCAGTGCTGGGATTACAGGTGTGCGCCACCACACCCAGCCCATTTTTCAATATCCTTGAAGAAGTCAGGGTTCCCAGGCCTGTCCTTCGCTATAAACTGGCAACTAGTTATAGGGCTGAAATTAGCTTTATTCTGGGCCCTCCCTCTGGACTTGTTTCTCAGCGTGTGGATGAGGCTATTGCCTCTTCTGACCCTGGACTGCCTGTCAGCCTTCCTACCCAACACCCCAGTCCTACCTCAGCCTTCCGTGTCCCCTAGATCTTTCAGCCTTCTGGGCTCTGCCACTCCTCACTTATCCTGGAATGTGCACCTGCTTCAGTCACTGACTTAGTACAATGCCAACTGCCACCCTAAGAAGAAAATGAGTCCCTATCTCAGTTAGGATCTTAACCTTCATCCACAAGCACGTAGCTCAGCCCTGCCTGGCAACTGTTCCCACCACACCACCCTCTGTACTCTCTGTGCTTCCCTCTGTCCACCAATGATAAATGACCCCTAATTCATTCAGGAAAAAACTATGAGTCTCTCAATCTCAGCTCCTACTTAGCCATGCTTGTTTTATCTGGAATGGAACTGGAAACAGAACAAGGACACTAGTAGGTCAGTGATAAAATCTGAAGGAGGCTAAGCTGGGTGTGGTGATGCATGCCTATAATCCTAGCACTCTGAGAGGCCGAGGCCAGAGGACGGGAAGTATGGACCCAGCCTAGGCCACTCCGTGGTGCCCCTGATTCAAAATGAGAAATAAAAGAAAGGGCTGGGCTCAGTATGAAGGCCCTGGGTTCTATCTCCTATTTACTGTACTGATATGAATTTTCTGGGTCTGATGATTGACCTATGATTACGTAGGACAGTAACATTAGGGAATCTGTGTGAAGGGTACAAAGGAACTCTGAAATCATTTTCTCTAAAATTGTTTTCAGAAAAAGTTAAACTAAATTAGGAAGAAAAAAAGGGACTGGTTCATTTCCTGGATTCTAAATAGAACATAAAGCTTTACGGCTTCATTTTTGCTCTTATATGGCCAATCATCCTATTGCCAAGATCCTCAAAATATCCCTTGTACCATCTTGCGACATGTGTCCCCCCGACTCCCCCAAGTAGGATGTAAATTCCAGGAATGAAGAGACTCATTTGCTGCCATATTCTCAGTAACTAGAACCCTTAGCACACAGCACACAATAAGTAAATACCCAATTTAGTCAAAGTACTTAAGTCCACATGCACAACTTCTTAAAAGTGCTGAAACCAAAAAAGAAAAAAAATTAGTAAAAGCCGGGCATGGTGGCGCACGCCTGTAATCCCAGCACTCGGGAGGCTGAGTCAGGAGGATCACTGTGAGTTCGAGACCAGTCTGGGCTGCACAGTGAGTTCCAGGTCAGTCTCAACTACATAGTGAGACCCTGTCTCAAAAACCAA